AGTCATACATTTAACCAATAGCCTACAGAGCACGTATACCCCCTTCCTGACCAGGCCAATTTCCAGCTTTCAGTGCTGCCACACTTTGAATCACAATTGCGCGGTCATGCAACACTGTACCCATATGAAATTTTTATCATTTTTTTGTGACAGATAGTGCTTTATTTTGGTGGTATTTAATCACCTCTGGATTTTTTATTTTTTCTTAAACCAAAAACCACTGAAAAGTTTGAAAAAAAAAAATTTTTTTTCTTAGTTTTTCTTATAAAATTTTGTAAATAAGTGATTTTTCTCCTTCACTGATGTGCGCTAATGAGGCTGCAGTGATGGGCACTGATAGGCTGCACTGATGGACACTGATAGCTGGCACTGATGAGGAGGCACTGGTAGGTGGCACTGATGGGCATTGACAGGCATCACTGATGGGCACTGAGAGGCAGCACTGATATATGGCACTGATAGGCGGCACTGACTGGCACTGATAGGCGGCACTGACTGGCACTGTTAGGTGGCACTGACTGGCACTGTTGGGCGGCATTGACTGGCACTGATAGGCGGCACTGACATGCACTGATAGGCAGCACTGATTGGCATTGATAGATGGCACTGACTGGCACTGATGTGTGACACTGAAAGGCAGCTCAGATGGGCACTGATATGTGGCATTGATGTGCACTGGTAGGCACTGAAATGTGGCATTGATGTGGCACTGATGGGCACTGGCACATGGCACTGATGAGCACTGGCAGTTGGCACTGATGGACACTGACAGGAGGCACAGCTGGGGCTACACTGATGATCAGGGCACACTGATCATCAGTGCTCTGATGATCATTGAACTATAAGGCGGGCGGGAGGTGGTTAAGCCAACATTTACTGCCAAAATGTATTCTGCTACATGTTTTTGGTAAAAAAAATCCCAATAAGTGTATATTGATTGCTTTGTGTGAAGTTACAGCATCTACAAACTATGGTATAGATACTGAAATTGACACCATTTTCTGCTATACAGTGCTGTGCTAGTTTAACTGATAATTGCGTGGTCATACAACACTGTACCCAAACGAAATTTATGTCCTTTCTTTCACACAAATAGAGCATTCTTTTCGTGGTATTGATCACTTGTGTAAGCCAACATGTATACTGCTACATGTCTTTGATCAAAAAAATCCCATTAAGTGTATATTGATTACTTTCTGTGAAAGCTATAGCGACTGAAAACTATGGTATAGATATTGCAATTTACGCCATTTTTTGCTATACAGCGCTGCGCTAGTTTAACTGACAATTGCGCAGTCATGCAATGCTGTACATAAATTAAATTTATGTCCTTTTTTGACACAAATAGAGCTTTCTTTTGGTGGTATTTGATCATCTCCGGGTTGTTGTTTTTTGTGCTATAAACAAACAAAGATTGATTTTGGATTATATTTTCTCATTTCTGTCATAAAAAATATCCAAAAAACTAAAATTTCATCAGAAGTTTAGGCCAAAATGTATTTTGCTACATGTCTTTGGTAAAAAATCCCAATAAGTGCATATTAATTGGGTTGTGTGAAAGTTATAGCGTCTACAAACTATGGTATAGATAATGAAATTTACACAGCTTTTACTTTCTGACTGCCCATCATATTTCTTGAGGTGCTAAAATACCAAGACAGTACAAACACCCCCAAATGACCCCTTTTCAGAAAGAAGACACCATAAGCTATCTGCTGAGAGGAATGTTGAGTCCATGGAAAATTTTTTTTTTTTTTTTGCACAAGTTTTTGGAAAACGACAAAAACATTTTTTTTTTTTTATACAAAGTTGTCACTTAACCATTTACCGCCCGCCCTATGGCCGAATGGCGAGCGGCAAATGCCATCAGCGTTCCGGGTGGACGCCATATGGCATCCTCCCGCACATGCTCAGATTGCGCTCCTGCAGAGCGGCACGATCTGTCACCGGCGGTGTACCTCGGACACGGCCGATGACAGATCTCAGTATCGGCCCCGTTGCCGGTACCATGTGACCTGTTGTGACCAATCACAGCAGGTCACATGACAGTTGTATACAATGGATGGCTTCACTCATGCCATCCATTGTATACTAGTGTCTAGCTGTGAATGGTCACAGTTAATCACATGCACATGTTATAGTGAAATATGAAAAAAAAATCTTAAAAAAATAAAAAATAAATACTTTTTTTTTTTCATACTGTCACCAGTCAGTGTCCCTGATCACTGCCATGCCAGTTATATAATGACGCTGTACTGCACTGGTGACAATATGTAAAAAAAAAAATAGTGAAACTAATTTTTTTAATTTTCCGAAAAATTTGGACAAAAAAAATACAACTTCAAAAAACTCACCATGCCTCTTATGAAGTACGTCGGACTGTCTACTTTGCAAAAAGGGGTCATTTGGGGGATCTGTACTGTTCTGACATTCTTGGACCTCAAGAAATTAGATTGGCTGTCAGTACTTCAGGATTGATCAATATTCAGATCTATACCATAGTTTGTGAACTCTATAACTTTCCTACAAACTAAAAAATACATCCTAATTTGGGTTATTTTCACCAAAGACATGTAGCAGAATACATCTCGGCGGCCTAAATTTATGAAGAACAATTATTTATTTGCAAATTTTTATAACAGAAACAAAGAAAAACTTTTTTGTTTTCAAAATTTTTGGTCTTTTTTATGTTAATTTAGCAAAAAATAAAAACCCCAGTGGTGATTAAATACCACCAAAAGAAAGCTCTAGTTGTGTGAAGAAAATGATAAAATTTTAGTTTGGGTACAATGTTGTATGACCGTGCAATTGTCATTCAAACTGTGAGAGCGCTGAAACCTGAAAACTGGCCAGGGCAGGAAGGTGTAAAATTGCCCGGTATTGAATTGGTTAAATGATATATTGCTCACACATGCCATGGGTATATGTGGAACTACACTCCAAAAAACATTCTGCTACTTCTACTGAGTATGGGGATATCACATGTGTGAAACTTTTTGGGAGCCTAGCTACATACAGGAATCTTGAAATCCAATGATCACTTTGAAAGCCTGAAGGTGCGTAACTTTGTCAATTCACTTCCTCACTACCTATCACAGTTTTGGAGGCCCTGAAATGCCAGGATAGCACCAACCCCCTTCCAAATGACCCCTTTTTGGAAAGTAGACACCCAAAGGCATTTAAAAGGAGGCATGGTGAGTATTTTGCAGTTCTAATTTTTTCTCCCAAGGTTTTGAAATATAAAAAAATAAAATAAAAATTATATTTTTGTTTTCTTTCTTCATTTTCCAAAAACTTGTGGTGAGTATTTTGCAGATCTCATTTGTTGCCACATGTTTTTGGAAAACGAAGAAAGAAAACAAAAGTTTTCTTTTTCAAAACCCCGTGACAAAAATTATATCTGTAAATTACTCACTATACATAAATTAGTGAATCGCTATATCAACCTAAATCATAACCATAGCTAAATTCATGCTAATTGTGCCACTGTGTCAACATAATAGTGCTCAGTGAAAATGACCCATAAACAGGAGTATATCCTTATGGTGAAATTATTGCACAAAAATAAAGTGAATATATTACCAGTGATAAAAAATATCATGTGCATAAACAATATATTCATTCCTAATAATCATTCAATATATTACCATATAAATGTGAATCACAAACACAAGAAAAACATTCGTGAATGATCAAAATGTAAAGTCCATGCAAGTGAAACTGTGTTAAAAAGGTGATCTTCACTCTGGTGAATAAATCCTCAAATGGCAGCAATGCCTGCTCACCTCCACACAATGACTCACACAGGGCCAAAAGGCTAATAATCTCCTCTGTACCAGATCCTCATAAATATGCTCCTCATCCAGGGACCACAAGGTAAATGGAGACTCCTCCCCCAGCGTATCTATTCCGCTCCACCTCCACTCAATGGCATATAAGTGAGACACAAAAAAATCCTTCCATAGTGCAATGATGTTTATTTGGAAGTAAATATAGAATAAAATTGCACTCACATGTATTCCCCATCAGCCTGCCACCATATCCCATGGGTGTACTGCATGGAACCTGGGGAAACCAATATGGCCGCTGCGTCTGGACATGCGTCACCTCGTGACCGGAAATGGCGTACTGACGCGTTGCAGCTGCAGGCATCATCCTGGTATAACCACTCAATGTCCAGTGATGTACCAGTATGTCGCTGGACCTTGTTGGGTGTATAAGCTATGTTCTTTTTTTTATGCAGCCTGTGGGCTGAATGAAAAAGAGAGAAGAAATCTCTGCCAGAAAAAGTGTGTGGTATGCCCACCATTAGAATATACCGCCCTGCATCCACTCTCTTCTAATGGTGGGCACACATGAAATGCTCTTTTTGAACCTAACAGATTCCTCTATTTACATCGGTCGATGTGGGTGAAGAAATCTCTGCCAAAAATGTTTTCTTTAACCACTAGCCTACAGGGCACTTATACCCCCTTCCTGCCCAGGCCAATTTCCAGCTTTCAGCGCTGTCACATTTTGAATGACAATTGCATGGTCATGCAACACTGTACCCATATGAAATTTTTATCATTTTTTTGAGACAGATAGAGCTTTCTTTTGGTGGTATTTTTATCACCTCTGGGATTTTTATTTTTTCTTAAACAAACCAAAAACCACTGGAAATTTTGAAAAAACAAGTTTTTTCTTATTTTTTGTTATACAATTTTGTAAATAAGTGATGGGCACTGATAGGCTGCATTGATGGACACTGATATGTGGCACTGATGGGCACTGATGAGGAGGCACTGGTAGGTTGCACTGATGGGCATTGACAGGCATCACTGATGGACACTGATAGGCAGCACTGATACATGATACTGATACATGACACGGATAGGTGGCACTGATAGGCACCACTGATAGGCAGCACTGACTGGCACTGATAGGCGGCACTGATAGGTGGCGCTGACTGGTACTGATAGGCGGCACTGATGCGCACTGATAGGTGACACTGACTGGCACTGATAGGTGGCACTGATTGGCAGCACTGATGGGTGGCACTGATTTGCATTGATAGGTGGCACTGACTGGCACTGATGGGTGACATTGAAAGGCAGCTCAGATGGGCACTGATATGTGGCAATGATGTGCACTGGTATGCACGATATGTGGCATTGATGTGGCACTGATGGGCACTGGCACGTGGCACTGATGGGCACTGGCACTTGGCACTGATGGACACTGACAGGTGGCACTTCTGGGGCCTCACTGATCATCAGAGCACACTGATCATCAGTGCCCTGATGATCAGTGTACATGTCTCCTCCGCGGAAAGCCGATTACCGGCTCTCCTCTCGAGCTGTCAGCGTGACAGCTCGAGAGGAGAGAAATGTCGTTAACCGGCATTTCCGTGTTTACATGTGATCAGCTGTGATTGGACACAGCTGATCACATGACCAAGCCATCATCTTCGGCTCTTTTCGTGATCCGCTGTGTCCGAGGGACAAAGCGCACCTGCGATCGCCGCGCTGCGCACTCCTTGAGCTACGCATGCGCAGTGAGAATGGTAGGACGTCATATGACGTCCTATCAGAATGAGAGAACCACCTTGCGCCCGTCATTGTACTATAGGGCAGGCGGAAGGTGGTTAAATATATACCAAAGCATAGGGGCCATCCAGCCACTGGCCACCCCAAGCCCCCATGTTTCGGCATATATTCTCTTTTTTTAACTGCGAATGAAAAATCTCATCCAACAGCGCTGCACACACCTACTTATGTATATTCTGAGAGAAAGACCCTGTTGCTGTCAGAATAAACAAGTCGGTGCTGCAGCTGAATGGCATTCCTGCAAAGAAATCAGCAATGGTTAACAATAAAACAGTAACTCAATAAAACAACTTATTTATTGAAATATGTGCCAAAAATGTAATAAAATATATATGCCAAGGCATAGGGACCATCCACCGATTGGCCACCCCAGGCCCCCATGCTTCGGCGTATATGCTCTATTTTAACTGCGGATGAAAAATCTAATCCAACAGCACTGCACACACTGACTTATGTATATTCTGAGAGCAAGTTCCTGTTGCTGTCAGAATAAACAGGTCGTTGCTGCAGCTGAATGGCATTCCTGCAAAGAAAACGGCAATGGTTAACAATAAAACAGTAAAATCGTAACAGAACAGTAACAACAATGACAACAACAAAAAAAACTACAACCATTTTTGGTTTTTAACATTTAAAATTTTTTTTTTGTACTTGTACTTTTTATTTTTTCTGAGTTTTTTTTCTTTTTTTTTAACTTGAACTTAAACTAGATTGTAGGGTCTCTCAAAATGCGATAGCCGGTTTCCTGACTACCTAACATCTTTCGAGACCCTGTGCAAATATGTGCCTGAACTTTGCCGTGCTGTACCCGATACTAATACTACACTAGTTTGTGGTAGCGACGGAAGCAGTCCTTGAGGCAGAGATCAGGTTGGCCAGGAAAGGAGGGACAAAAAAAGCAGGTGTCACACCTAATTCCATTTCTGCTACAGCCATTTTGGCTAACTGCATCTGTCAGGGATGCGGGTGTGACCAGAAGTGTGTGGACTGACACAGGGAAACGCAGTCTTCAGATATAGTAAATAATATAATTTATTAAGACTAACAATACAAACGCAGTGCAAAACTAAACATAACACAGTGCAAACAAACTGAACCAAACCTCCAACAGATAACAAACATACGATACAAGAGTAGTCAGGCAGGCCGGGTCAGTAGCAAACGGGCAAACGGAGTACCAGGAGCAGGCGGGAGAGTGGTCAGGACTAGCCGAGGTCAGTACAGGCAGAGTTCAGGCAGCGTCAGGACAGCAGAAACAGGATCAGGAAACCAGGGCCAAGCAAAGAGTACAACAAGGCACAGACTGCAGGTCTGGCCATCCCTTAAATACACCACCTGCAATCAGCCCCAGGTGATGGCTAATTGCTGAAGTGAGCCTCTGGTTGTTGAGAGCACCCGCTGGCCAGCCCTGGTACTGCAGCCCACAAGGCAGGTGAGTCCCACCACTATTGGCAAGTCCATTCCTGACAGCTTCTGTGTTGGGGTTTGGGCCACAGCACCTTCTGCATACAAAAGGGCCATGATGACTTCTTCCTGGAATTTTAGGAAGAATCCACTTTGTCCAGTTGCTTTGTAAAGCACAAAAGCATTATATAGAGCCAATTGAAATAAATAGATGCTTTTTTGTACCAGCAACTGGCTTTTCGGGAAACTAAGTACGACTTCATCATCTGGTCATTGAAGTCCACCCCTCCCATGTTAAGGTTATAGTCATGGACACAGAGGGGCTTCTCAACAACACCAGCTGCCATGGTAATTTGGATGGTCTTGTCTGCGTGAATGGAAGACAAGACAAAAACATCACGTTTGTCCTTTCACTTCACTGCGAGCAAATCCTCATTTCTCAAGCAGGCTTTTTCCCCCTTTCTAAGATGGGTATTTACAAGTTGTTGGGAGAAGCACCATCGATTAGGTTGCACGGTGCCACATGCGCCAATTCCAAGAATATACAAATATCTAAATAGTGGCACACTTGAATAAAAATTGTCCACATATAAGTGGTACCCCATATGGAAAAAGGATGACACCAGGTCCCAAACTATCTTGCCACTGCTCCCCATGCAGTCTGGGCATCCAGGGGGTTCCATGTGACTATCTTTTCCCTCATAAATCCAAAACTTATTGTTGCCCTCTCACAGGTCTTATTCATCTTGACCCCATATCTGGCACGCTAGCTGTGGAGAAATTGTTTAAATGCAAGCGGCCAGAAAAATTAATGAGGGACTCATCAACACAGATGTTTTGCTGGGGAGTATAGACATCTGCAGATTTTTGGTTAAGGTGATTTGCGAGGGGCTGAAGTTTGTGGAGCTGGTCAAATTCAGGGTCACCCCGAGGACGACAGAGTGTATTGTCATTGAAATGCATAAAATACATTATACTCTCATATCTATGCCTGTCCATGGCAGCAGAGAACAGGGGCATAGGTTGAATTGGGTTTGTGGACCAATACAAACACAATTAAATTTTTTTAGTAATGCCTATGTTGAGGGTTAGGCCCCAAAAAATTTAAATTCAGAAACCGTAAAGGGTTTCCATGCGAACGGTCTGACAAGGTTTGAATTTGGGTTGGCAGCGATAAACTGTTGTGCATATAAATTCCTTTGACCCACAATCAATGCATACAGATCTTCCATTAAAAACAGCTCCAAAAAATCAAGGAGAGTAGTTAAATCCACCTGAATTCCGGGTTGGGCAGTGAATGGGGGAAGTATGGGTACTGCAAAATTTGTGGGCTGCCAAATGGGATTTGCAAGCACATCCGAAAGGATACTAGGGGCTCTATGGGCCTGTGTGCAAATTTTTGGTGGTTGCAGGACACTACTTGCGCTTGCCACCGCACCAGCTTGTACTACACTTATGGGACTCACCACATCACCAAGTGATACTGCATTGCTGGTATGTAAAAGACCAGGATGTACTAGGCTGCTGGTGCTCTCCAGTTCGTCAAAAGGTAGTACTGGAATTCTACTGTATATGAAAGTCATCATGTGATTGTAACATCTCAGCAACCTGGGAACAGGGTCAGGTACGCCTGACCTTAGCAGGGACCTCTTCTCCATCGCCTGAGCTCAGTGAGTCTTTCCCTTCATTCTCACATGACATGCTCAGAAACCTGTAGGCCTCTTCACTAGAGTACCTTTCCATTGACATTTTGGCCACTAAAAGTACCTAGTGCAACTCACAGGAAAAAGAGCACCTGGCTGTCAGAGACTGCTTGAGCTGCTACAACTTACCAGCAAGTGCTAACAGAGATCAGGCTACATCTCGGATGTCCTGGAATATTATTATTATATTATACAGGATTTATATAACGCTAACAGTTTGCTCAGCACTTTACAATATAAAGGGAGACAATACAGCAACAATACAGTTCAATACAAGAGGGTAAGGAGGGTCCTGCTCCTTGGAACTTACAATCTAAGAGGGAGGGGCTAGTGGTACAAAAGGTAGTAACTGTGGGGGATGGACTGGTAGGAGGAGTAGAAGATTCCACTATTAGCTGAGGGCAGGATAGGCTTCCCTGAAGAGACAGGTTTTCAGAGATCGCCTAAAAGTTAGCAGAGTAGGCGATAGTCTGATAAATTGGGGTAATGAGTTCCAGAGGATGAGGGAAGTTCTGGAGAAGTCCTGGAGACGAGCATGGGAGGAGGAGACAAGGGAGCTTGAGAGCAGGAGGTCAAGCGAGGAGTGGAGAGTACGGTTGGGTGATATTTGGAGACAAGTTGGTAATGTAATTTGGGGCACAGTTATAAATGGCTTTATTTGTTATTGTTAATGTTTTGAATTTTATCCGTTTCTATTGGGCAATGGGAAGCCAGTGGAGGGATTGGCAGAAAGGGGTGGCAGATACGGAACGGTTAGTAAGGTGGATGAGTCTGGCAGCAGCATTCATGATAGACTAAAGAGGGGATAGCCTGCGATGAGGTAGGCCAATGAGGAGGAAGTTACAATAGTCAAGGCAAGAGATAACAAGGGAGTGAAAGTTGCTTAGTAGTTTCCGAGGTTAAGAACAGGTGTAGCTTGGAGATGTTGCGGAGATGAAGTCTACAAGATATGGACAGCAATTGGATTTGGGGCTAAAAGGACAGATGGGAATCTACGACTACACCTAGCACCCTGACATAAGGGGAGGGACTAATGGTTGTGTTATTGATCTTGATTGAGAAGTCAGGGGAGGGGGCACGGGCTGGAGGAAATACTAAGAGTTCAGTTTTGGAAAGATTGAGTTTGAGGAAGTGGAGTGACATCCATGCGATATGTCGCTTAGTAAGTTAGTAATGCGAGAGGAGACTGAAGGGGTGAGGTGAGGAGTAGAAAGATAGATTTGTGTGTCATCAGCATAGAGATGGTACTTGAAGCCATGGGAGTTTATCAAGTGACCAAGGGAGGAGGTGTAGATGGAGAAGAGTAGGGGTCCATGGACAAAACCTTGAGGGACCCCTACAGAAAGAGGGAGTGGAGAGGAGGAGCCAGAGTTATAGGTAACGCTGAAGGAGTGCTGTGATAGGTATGAGGAGAACCAGGAGAGAGTGGAGTTTCAGAGGCCAAGAGAGTGGAGTCAACAGTATCAAAAGCCATGGAGAGGTCTAGTAGTAAGAGTACAGAGTAGTGGCCATTGGTTTTAGCAGTTAGTAGATCATTAGTGAGTTTTAGTAGGGCAGTTTCAGTGGAGTGGAGTGAGCAAAAGCCAAACTGTAAAGGGTCAAGAAAGTTGTTGTCAGTGAGGTAGGAGCTCAGACGATTGTAGACTAAGCATTCTAAGAGTTTCGAGGTAAACAGGAGCAGGGAGATGGGTCTTAAGTTGTTCAGGTTGGTGGGGTCCA